TGGAATCAGCGTGTCCTGCAGCGGGAACAGTGGCTGTATGATGTTATTTTGCATCATGAAATTGACGACCGACTGCAGGTCTGCCAATTTGTTTGCCATCTCTTTTACCTCTTCGTCCCTCCGCACGCACCTATCCTTCCATACCTGGAGGTCATCCTTGTTGTAGTAGCCACTTCGATCTAGTTTCTTTGGTGCGTTGCCAGTTTGGCCGACGTCTTTCACTCCATGATTCTGGTCACGAGTTTCTGCGTTGCATTCGTCTCCTTCGACATCAAGGTCAATAGGTCTCCCACTCGCAGCAGGAGTGTCGTCCCCAATCTTTTCCTTCTGTCCGTTACTGGCCATCTATTCTCTTTTCTTTCCCACAGACGGCGCCAAATTGTGTGGGTGATTTTCCGATCACACTGCCCAACTCAGTATTCAGTTGGAGAACACTTGCAGAATAGATGACACTTGGCTAACTTGCAACAGAAAGAGAAGATTCCCGCGGTGGTTCGTCCACTCGGGGGTACTCCGACGATCAAGTCAGTATATCTCTTAAAGATAGTCAATAGTGCAAATCTCACTGTTCAGAATATGAAATTGCGTACCTTAGACCTACGGAGGTGCCTCTCTTTTGTAGCTAACTCAGTCCTTGTCCCAACAAGAGCCTAGCTCTAATGGACTTAGGATTTACTATTAATCTTGGACTCCCAGTAGGATTGGAATAAACTCCCTAAGAGTCTTATCCTTTCCCAACTGTAGTCTTCCCCCTTTCTAGGACTCTTGTGCCTTATCCTCTTATCTCGGATTCCGATATCTTCGGAGGTAACCTCGGCCTCGTTGAGATAACCTTAGCGTCATAACTAGGACACGTGGCACCTCGGCTGACACGTCGGCGTCACTTTAGCCGCGTGTTGGTACTCAGAAAATATATTCCCATAGAAAGAAATTTGTACAATTATTGTGAAAAATGAGAGTTTTTGTCACAATGTCAATTGTGGTGAAAATTAGTGAACCTTTGGTGAGAGTTATTCATCTTGTCAATGGTGATAAGAAGCCAACTATGAGATACTTGTATGAAGCCATGGATAAGGCAAAATTAGCAATTAAAACTAGGCTAAACAATAGGATTTCTTTACATAACCCATATGTTAGATTGATTGATGCTAAATGGGATAAACAACTTCACAGTCCTCTTCATTCCGCTGGTTGCTTTCTTGGTCTTGGAATTTTTTTATTAGTCCTTTTTTAACCAAGCAAAAGGAAGTTACTTGAGATTTGCTCTTGGCTATTATGTCTTTGGTACTAAATGATAATATGCGAGATATAACCATTTACAACTTGAAGAATACAAACAATCAACTGGAAAATTTGGTATGTCCCTTGCTATTTGGCAACACGAAAGACTAAATGTAGGTAAATTTATATATTTTTTAACATGTTATTATATGCAACACATTAAATTCTATTTTATATGCCTAACATATTATTTAATTTTATTATGTGAACAATCTTTTCCAATTTTGTTTATTTATTATAGTTGCATGGTGGGAGCAATTTGGAAATAATTATCTAGATTTACAAAAGTTTGCAACCCGCATACTAAGTCAATGTTATATTGCAACTGGATGTGAAAGAAATTGGAGCACATTTGAGTTCATCCATTCGAGGAAACAAAATAGACTAGAATACAAAAGATTAAATGATTTAGTCTATGTTCGTTACAACTTAAAACTTCAAGAAATGTACAAGTAGAATTATAAGTTGAAATTTTAAGAATAAGGTCAAATTTGGGAAGACTAAATAAGTGTACTTTTTGACTTTTTTTGTATTATGTGTAAAAAAAATAGAGAGGAGATGTTGATTGATATGACTCAAAAAAGATAAAAAGATGAAATAAGTGCACTTTTTAGGTTAGCCAAACTTGGCCTAAATTATTACGAATATGGGCTTATTTGAACTATCAGATCATACATTTTAGGCTCACTTATGAAAATTCAATTTTGCCCACTTCATAGCCAGCCCGTGCGTTCAGTAAGAGATACTCAAGGCACGAGATGAAGAGATAAGAAAAAAAAGGGTCCGCTTGGTGAAATCCTATTAACAAACTCAATAGAACCAAATTTATGGGCTCATTTAGACTACTAGATCATACATTTTGAGTTCACCTATGGAAATTTAATTTTGCGTACTTCATAACCAGCCCAAGCATTAAGTGAGAGATACTCAAGGAATAAGATGAAGAGATAAAGGAAAAGAGGGTCGGTTCTCTTAGCAAAATTCTATTAACAAACCCAATGGACCCAAATGGACCCAAAGTTATGAGCTCAATTGGACTTTCAGATCATACATTCTGGACTCACTTACGAAAATTGGGTGTGTTTGGTTTGTGTTTGTAGAGTAATTTTTGAGATAAAAAATACGAAAAACTTGTTTGGTTTGTCTTTTTTTAGAAATGGTTTTGGAAAATTGTTTTGGAAAATTTTTTTTAAAAAAAGTGATTGATTTGATGTGTATGAGAGAGAGAGAGAGTGATTTTGGAAAGTAGGTAACCAAATAAAATTTTGAGATTTTTTTTGGAAAAATTTGTTTGGTTTGATTACTTTTAAAAATTTGTTTGTAGAGAATTTTTTCCAAAATTTTTTCTGAAAAACAAACCAAACACAATTTTGCCCAATTCATGGCCAATCCAAAGTATTTTGTAAGAGATTCTCAAGACATACGATGAAAAGCTAAGGGATAAGATGGACCTCTTTAGGCCCAAATTATGGGCACATTTGGACTTCCACATCAAACATTCTGGGCTTATGAAAATTTAATTTTGCCCAGTTCATAGCACCAAGGCCCAAGAAAACATAAAAACAAAAAAAGGGCCCTTTAATTTAAGCAGAAAAGTCTCACGGCTGCAATTCTGGCGGGAAGACACAACCATTTCCCGCCAAATCTACCCCTCCAACACTGATCTCGAGTCCCCTCCGCCCCCCAAAAAAACCCTTCAACTGCCAATTCGTGTTCCCGCCAAATCTCTCTCTCTCTCTCTCTCCCGACTGTTTGATATCTAGGCTATGCCCTTTGGGGTTCATAGCCATTTCCCTAACAAAAGCACCACGGACAGGTCTGCATTTTCTCTCCATTCTTTCTACAATAAATTTGAATGAAGATGAATTTTCGTTTTTAAAAAAAAAATTCCAATCACTTTCTCTCGCACTCCGTTTGGTTGCCGAGAAAATGTTAGAAAGGGAAGAAAGTATCCACTGAACCAAGCATTACGCAATTGCTCGGTTTAGTTATGCTTGGAGTTTAGCAAGCTGTACATGGATTTTAATATAGAACAGAAAGAAATATATTTTTTCACTTTAATTTTCTAACCAAACAGAGACTCGTTGTTCTGTGATATACTTTTATTGTTGTGTGATAGCGAGCTCTGTTGAATATTCGACGGAAGTTTCAAATGCCGGTTCGAATTTGCGCTCTCATACTCTGTTTGGTTGTTGAGAAAGTGTAAGGAAACAAGTTAGAAATAAGACCGAGGTCTGAGCCTAATACGGCTATTCGATTTACTAGAGAACTTGACCTTTGCAATTTACATATTGCGTTCTCGAATGGAAGAAAAATAGAACGTTGATCATTCTCTTCTTCTTCTTCTTGTTAGTTATTATTCTTCAACTTTTGTTTTAGAGAACAGAGTTTCATTAATTTGTGATTTTTGTAGATAAAATTGTGAACTTTGTTGAATATGGAATGAAATTTCCGAATATTATATTGAATGTAGAAATTAGAATAGATAGAATCTTCAAATAGGTTTTTATCTTCAAACTAATTTGAGTTTGAGGGTTATTATACCTATATCATGGCGAGCATGCTTATACAACATGTGAACCACCCAAACGATCCCTTGGCGCACTACTTAAGCCGCCCCCTAGTGCACTTTCTCATAAGCTGCCCCTGGGGCACCAAAGTCGCCTCTCTTGGCGCACTACCAAAGTTACCCCTGGCGCACCATCCAAGTTGCCCCTGCACACCATCCAAGTGCCCCTAGCGCCCTTTCTGATAAGCCACTCCCTGGCACACTCAGTCATCTGTTGTCATCATTGTTCAGTACCACGTCTGCTGGTTCAATATCCAGTTCTCTACATCGATCCGGCATGACCTCCTTTAAACTGTCTCGACATTGATTCCGGTTAGTCTCTACAATGGACCGACATGACCCTTTAAATTATACCGACATTGATTCCGGTCAGTTCCTATGATGTTCCGGCATGACCTTAAACTGTCCCGGCATTAGTTTTGGCCAGTTCCTACAACGGTCTGATATGACCATAAATTGTCTCCCGACATTGGCTCCTACCTCTGATCTATCTCAAGCACCCTTGCGTTCCCATTCAAACTTTGCAATCTATTTGCCTTTTGTTTTATTTTTTAGTTTTATAGTTTCTCTCCAAACTCAAATTGGTATCCCTACTTGAATTGGTGTCCATATCATACTTATCATATTATATTCATTATCATATTTAGGATTACCATACTTAAATTTCTCTCCTCCTATATAAAGGAGTCTTATATACGCTGTTACATAATTATTCAACATAACATTCAATATAGTATTTTTCTCTCTCTCTCTCTCTCTCTCTCTCTCTCTCTCTCTCTCTTAGATATTGTAACATATTACATCAATTTATTGCTTCATCTATCTTTCCTGTGATTGAAATGTATGGATCTCTTCGTATTGTGATCCTCTCCTTTGCATATTTGTAATGGAGTGGAGAAACTCTATTACACCATGTATAATGATCTTTCTTTAATTTAAAATGATTACTTATATTCCTATTTTATATCCATTAGATTTGCAATGAAAATCTTCCATTGCAAACATGTAATGGAGAGATCAAAGTCCGATGTGTTCTTAAATAATTGTTAATCAGCAAAAAAGAAAGCATTTATTTATTTTTAATGTATATAAGTGCTTTAGTTTGCCATACATTTTTTATTATTTTTTTTCAACATCTTTTGTAGACGTTGTGTGCAATAAATCATTAATCAACAATTTGTAAATGGAACTTTTTTTTGGTATTACTTGATCTGCTCTATAGTTGAAGGCCATAAATCTTGAAGGTCATGAAAACTGGATCATCCACTGTATGGTAATGAGTGCACAAGGGAACCATCTTTGGACCATTATCCAAAGAGGTTCTAAAGATCCAGCTTAGACGATTACTATTGCAGTGAATGATCCAAAGAGGTTCCAACTGGTTCAAAGATTACCATGCAGTGAATGACCAGCTGGAAACCCCCAAAAGGCTAAACCTATCCAAAGAGGTTCTTTGGTAATGAAATGGTATGTTCATTTTGGGAAGAATAGATGCTGGAACCAAAAAAGGTTTAGCTTATGATGACAATTGGACACTTTCTTTTTCTAAGCAGAGGTTTAACCTTTTTTTTTTTTTTTTTGTATCTAGATCTTTCATTTTTTACTTTTCTTGATTTGCAGAAACATATATGCGTGCCAGGATAGATCTTGAAACTACAACTTTGTGCAAATAACTATGCCTTCAAGGAAGATGGATGATTGGGGTACTACAACTTCTACTTCCGATGGCTTAATTTGGCATTTTAGTTTGTTATATTGCTCTGATTTGTTTCTATGCTGATTAGTAATTGTTTAAACTGGTGGAGCTTGATAATCCTTACAAAACCATTATGAATATAAGAGGTTCTTTATGCATCTAGTTGCTCCGGTCATGTGAAGAATTTTCATGGAACTTTCTCTTTTTCCTTTTAATGGAAAATTTGTATGACCTTAATCACGAGACTATTAAATAATTGCTCCAATCTTGTGGAAAGTGGAACAAGTAGAGCCTATTTATGGCCTGTGTGCAAACAGATCTTGGCTGCTCATCCATGTGGGATGAAAGAGGCTTTGATTCCTGTTGATAAAAATGACACTTTATGATAGGGATAAAATGACCTTGTCATCACTCGTGATATTAAAAAAAATAATGAGCTTACAAGTGGGATTATGAGCTTTACTATACTACTAGTGGTTTATGTATTCATATATTCTATTTGGTCAAAAATTTGTGGATGTTTAATTTTTTGGAGTTCATGGGACCTGGTACTTGATCTTACTTAAATGTCCGCAACTGCTGCAGAGGATGAGCCAACCCCACCTCGTCATGTAAAGGAGCAACACAAAATTAACTGGGATGATGAAGACGCAGATGGAATTGATGTTAAGGAGTCATGGGAGGATGAAGATGACTCTACTTCGGTATCTTCATTTACTATTATTACCTACCTCATTTTAAGTAATCCACTTATTTCAACTTTGGAATGAAAAATGTGTATCATCTAGGATCATATGCTATGCACTAAAAATTCTATCTTACATTAAGGCTTTATAGAGCCCATGCCAATCAAGAAATCATGTAGGTGTAAGAAAAAAAGTGTTTGTCTATGTTTCAGGTTCATAATGTATTTTGAATCTTAGTAATATTTGTTGAACGTAAGATGTCAATGGCATTATAACATTTTCATAAAAATACTTGCCTGGCATCTAAAAGGAAGGAGTAAAGTTAGGATTTGATTATAATATCTGTAAATCAGAAAATTTGTTACATGTGGTACATTCAAGTATTTTTGTCTTTAAAGGTGGGAAATGTAGCAAGTTATTCTAGCAGTAGTGATACCTTAGTATTTTACTGTTCTTGCAGCAGTAGCAAGTTGGTTTTATAATATTTTAACACCTGGGCATTTATTTAATTTTTTTCTCTATGATGTCTTTTACTTGGGATTTGACAGAGGATTGAGATTTGTTTGATACAAGGATCAGGTTTAACAGTTGTTAATGCTTTTTCTAAGTTTACGGTTTTAATGCTGTATTTTATCTTTTGATTATAATTAAATAGAGAAGTGACATCTTACAGCATTGTTTTTAACAGATATCTTTGACTTGACCTCATGATGTTGAAACAAATGCCTACAAACCCTATGTGATTGCGTTAGTCATTGAAGGATAGTTTTGGTTTGGCAACTATTTCTATGTCGATGTGCAAGCCTTTTTATAAAACTTGCAAAATTGTAATGAGTGGGAAGAATTGTATGCAATCACACAAATTTTAACTATTTTTGTTCTTACCATTAATCTTGAAATTGATGTGACTAGGCACCAACACTAGAACCTCCTGCAGAAAATGGAACAAAAAATATGTCGAAGGCTGGAGACAAGAAAGCAAAGACTTCTGAAATAGCAAAGGAAGCTTCTCTGGATCCTCTGGCACAGAAGCTCCAACAACAAAGGTGATGGTTTGTTTCCTGCTTGGCTTAAGAAAAAGAAGTTGCAATACATCACATTGATATAACATAGTTTAACAATATTAATTACAATATGTTGCATTCTTTGCTTAAGTAGTAAAAACAATGCTTAAAAAATTCATTTATATAGTTATGTCAACTATTAGGAACAGCAGTTTGATTTCATCTTTCCAGATCCATTGCATGGGGGACAATTTATGTAGTTATGCTTAAATAATTCATTTTTGTAGTTGTGTCTTAATATTTTTATTTCCTTTTTTCTTATTATTGCAATAAATCAAGGCCAAGGTTCTGATTCTGTAGTGCTTAAATGGTCTTTGTTATATATCATGAGATCCCAATCGTATATGTTTATCAAATTCAGTTTGGATTTTAAATGAAATTCTGAATTTCTTTTGGTATGATGTTGACTGTTCCATTAAGTTTATCACATGGTGCTTCTTGCATATGAATTGTGCACTTGAAATATTAGTTTGGTAATTGTTATATTTAACAAGTACTTAAATCGGTTCTAGCAATTTAGCATCTTTGTACATCTCTTATATAAACAACATCACATGGAGCCACTTGCTGACAGATTGTGAACTCAAAATGTTTTGGAATTTGTTATTGGGAATTATTTTTCTTGGTTTTAGCCGTTGATAATTCTTAATTGTTCTTTTATGTTAATGAGTTGCGACAATGCTTACACTATTATGTAAATCATTGTTTTCTTTGTCAGTTCATGTTTCTGAACTCCATTATTTTGAGCAGTAGTGTGTTTTTGTATGTCCACATAATGTTTCCATTTTCGTTTCTTCTCCATTCATTTCTGTTTTCACGAGTTTGGAAGTTGAGAAGTCTAAATTTTCCGTGGTTGGCATTATTTCTTGTAACAATGTGTCTAATGTTTTGTACCATTGCTTCTCTTATTGTAGAATTGCTGACGAGGGCGATCCTAAATCCAGTGAAGAACTATTTACAGAGAGTGGCAATGAGAAGTCCCTTGACAACTTAATTCCCAAGTCTGAAACCGACTTCTTAGAATATGCTAACCTCATTTCTCAAAAACTGCACCAATATGAGGTATCTTTATCGCTCTGTTTGATTTCTTACTCGATAAACGGTGTTGAAAAGTCCTCATTCTTTTGTGGTTCTTTTCCATTGTAGAGAAGCTATTATTACGTTGGATTACTGAAATCTGTCATGAGGTTGTCTATGGTGGTTCTGAAAGCAGCAGATGCAAAAGAAATTGCTTCTTCCGTTACTGCAGTTGCAAATGAAAAACTCAAAACAGAGAAAGAAGCTGATGGCCATAAACGGAAAGCAGGTACACATCCTTTTGACAAGCTATTCCTTGAGGCACTTCCAATACGCCCAACAAATTTCTCTGCACACCCACTCTCTCACAAAGAATTGTTAATTGGGAATTATGCTCTTGCAATAGTGGGTCTCGCGAGAAATTTTTTAGGTGTATTTAGAAGCACCCTGTTTATTTACGTATTGTAAATCCAAATATATATAAACTTGGACACTCGCTTAGAGTTGCAATTTGTTTTCCCCTCACCCTTTTTTGAAAGAGTAATGTCATACAAATTAACAAATCTTACAAAATTTTCTTACTTATTGATGCGGTACGTATCATATATCATTGAAGTGGCAAATTTGAGTGTTGTAATTTCAAACAAAAGGCCATTCAAATGCATATTATTTTAAAAATGGCACTGCCTCATGATGCTAGTTATGTATTTCGTACTAAATTTATGAAAGAATAGCATTTTTCTTATTGTGATCTCTTCTGCCTTCAACTTCAGGCTGCAAAAAGAAGAAGCTTCATGTAGACAAGCCAGAGGATGATGCTCATCTTAATGCCTATGATGCTGTTGTCGATTATGATTCTATCTGAGTCCTTAGATGAACTAGATGACCATTTTGCAACATTGTAAATATATTCCAGGATCTACTTCCCCCAAATGAAAACTGAAAGCCAAGAGAAAAGGATCTGATTGTTTTGTTGAACTTTGCAGAACTTTCTAGGGAAGGCGTTAAGGTATTACCTGTTGTTTTGAAGTCATTGCCTTCACTGGTTGGAACTTATGATTTGTAGGATCTACTTGAACTTAAGGATGC